AAAGATCAGCTCATTCCATTATTAAATAAATCATCTGGAATAATATGCAAAGAAGGAATTCTACCAAACTCCTTTTCTGAAACAAACATGATGCTGACACCTAAACCAGGAAAAGCAAAAACAGAGAAAGAAAATTACAGACCAATTTTACTAATGTATATTGATGGCAAAAATCCTAAATAAAATACTAGCAAGGAGTCTACATCAATGTATCACAAAGATCACACATTATGACCAAGGGGGATTTAGACCAGGAATGCAGAGCTGGTTCAACATAAGTAAAACTATTACATAATTTATTATATTATTAACAAAATCAACAAAAACCATATGATCATATCAACTGATGCAGAAAAAGTTTTTGACAAAATACAACACTCATTCCTATTAAAAAAACACTTGAAAACATAGGTACAAGTGGATTTTTCCTTAAAATGATAAGAAGCATCTACCTAAAACCATCAGCAAACATCTATAATGGATAAAGTTAGAAGCCTTCCCAATAAGATCAGGAATGAAACAAGGGTGCCCCTTATCACCAATATTAATCAGTACTGTACCAGAAATGTTAGCAATAGCATTAAGAGAAGAAAAAAGAAATTGAAGGAATCAGAATAAGAATTGAGGTAATAAAATCATCTCTTCTTTGTTTGTTGTTTTGTTTGTTTTTGGGGGGTTTTTTTTTTTAGGCAATTGTGGTTAAGTGACTTGCCCAGAGTCATACAGCTAGCAAGTGTCAAGTGTTTGGTCTGAGGCCGGATTTGAAATCAGGTCCTCCTGACTTCAGGGCCAGTGCTCTATCCACTGCACCACCTAGCTGCCCCAAAATCATCTCTTCTTGAAGGCAATATGATGGTATACTTGGAAAATACTAGAGATTCAACTAAAAAATTAGCTGAAACAATTAACTTGAGCAAAGTAGCAGGATATAAATTAAACCCACATAAATCATCAGAATTTCTTTATATCACAAGCAAAGTCTTGCCAGAAGAGATAGTAAGAGATATTTCATTTAAAAATAATCATAGACAATATCAAATACCTGGCAGTATATCTGCCAAGACAAACCCAGGAACTATATGAACATAATTATATAATACTAAATTAGTACTAAATACTAAAATAGTAAGGCTAGATTTAAATAATTGAATAAATATTAATTGCTCATGGATAAGACAAGCAAATATAATAAAAATAACAATTCTACTTAAACTAATCTACTTATTCAGTGCCATCCCCAATAAAACTACCAAAAAATTATTTTATTGAGCTAGAAAAAAAAATAACAAAATTCAATTGGAAGAATAAAAGGTCAAGAACTTCAAAGGAATTAATGAAAAAACTGTAAAGGAAGGAGGCCTTAAACTATATTTATAAGGCAGTAATTATCAAAACTATTCTGGTACTGGCTAAGAAAAAGAATGGTGAAACAGTGGAATAGAATAGGTTTACCATGTACAATAATAAATGATTATAGTAATCTCGTGTTTGATAAATGCAAAGATCTAAGTTTGGGGGATAAGAACTCACTATCTGGTAAAAATTGCTGGGGAAACTGGAAGGCAGTTGGGCAGAAATTACATAGAGACCAGTATCTTATACTGTTTACCAAGATAAGGTCAAAATGGATACATTAGCTAGACATAAAGTGAGATATCTTAAGTAAATTAGAAGAGCACAGAATCTATTACCTATCAAATTTCTGGAAAATAGAAAAATTTATGAATAAACAGAAGATAGAGAACATTGAAGGATGTAAAATGAATAATTTTGATTACATTAAATTAAAAAGATTTTATACAAATAAAACCAATGTAGCCAAGATTAGAAGGAAAGCAGAAAATGGGGGGAGGGGTAACTTATAGCCAATTTCTCAGATAAAGGTCTCATATTTCAAATACATAGAGAACTTTGTCAAATTTATAAGAATATGAGTCATCTCCCAACTGGTAAATAGTCAAAGGATATGTACAAGCAGTTTTTGGAAGAAGAAATCAAAGCTATATATAGTTGTATTTTTTAAATGTTCTAAATCATTATTGATTAGAGAAATGCAAATTTAAAAAATTAAAACAACTCTGAGGTACCATCTTACACCTATAAGATTGTCTAAAATGATAGATGCTGGAGGGGATATGGAAAAATTGGGATACTAATTCACTACTAGTGGAATTGTGAACTGATCCAACAACTTTGGAGAGCAATTTGGAATTACGCCCAGAGTTATAAAACTATATAAATTTTGACCCAGCAATATAACTCTTAGGTCTGTTTCCCAAGGTGATGAGGGAAAAAGGAAAAGAACCTACATGTTTTAAAATATTTACAGCAGCTCTCTTTGTGGTAGCAAAGAACTAGAATTGAGAGGATCATCAATTGGGGAATGGCTAAACAAGTGCTAGTATACGATTGTGATGAAATCCTACTGTACTGTAAGAAATGACAAGCAGGTTGGTTTTAGAAAAATACAGAAAGACTTGCATGAAATAATGCAAAGTGAAATGAGCAGAACCAAGAGAATGCTGTATACAGTTACAGCAATATTGTTCAAAGAGTAACTGTGAATGACTAAGCTATTTTGAGTACATTCATTTTTTATCATACTTTAAGTATGATAATATGATTATTCAAATCAACCAGGAAGGGCTTATGAAGGAAAATGTTATTCACCTCCAAAGGAAGAACTGATATATGGAAGTACATATTATATCACTTCACATATATATCTATATCAAATATTGGCTTTCTCTAATGTGGGGTTGGAGGGAGACAACTAAGAACTCAAAATGTAACAAAAAATAAAAAACAATTTAAAAAACAATTATACTGTGTCTAAATTAAATAATGATCCTAAATGGGAAGTCAAAGACTCATTCCTAGTCCTACTTTAACTTAGGAAACTATCTGTGCCACAGTTTTCTTTTTCCTAATGTAGAGACCAGAAAAGAAACTGATTTCCCCAAGAAGAGAATGGGATGGGGAAGGGGAAGGATACAGGAAATTGCATAGAAAGTTCTTTGCCAAGAAGAGACTCAATTATCTATGAATGCTAGAACAGGAGAGGATCACAGGATCATTTAGTCTAGCTTCTTCATCTTATAAATGAAGAAACCTCTCGAGGCCCAGAGAGGTTTAAGGGATGTGTTTAAGGTTACATAGCTCACTAACGGTAGAGTTAAAGTGAGAATAGAGGTCTCTTGACTTCCACTTCTGGCCTCTATTACATTACATTGCCCTTCCAATTAACAGACCTGCACAACTTGTAAACTTCTTCGGGAGGCAGACAGGTTAGACTAGGGACAGACTAATGATGGTTAGTTGCCATGGGTCACATGACAAACAGGACAGCATATGCAGTGGCAACCCTACATTTTTTGCCCGAAATCCTTTGGCAGGCCCCAAGTGGCCCATGGGCAGTATGTTGTACAGGCCTGCAATTAAATAGTTTGGATTTCACTTCATTTCCTGTCTCCCAGCAAGGGAGAATCATTACTCCCGAATGATTCCCCCAGACTTCTTAAATAGAGTTATTAACCTTTTTTGTGTTATAGACCCCCCCTTTGGCAGTCTGAGGAAGCCAAATACTCCTACTGTGAGTTGTTGTCTTCATTCATAATTGAAGGAAATGGTAAATTTCAGTTAAAGGTTTAGTTCACTAAAGATTTCAGTGACCCCTTGAAATTAATCCACATACCTTTTAGGGGCCCATGGACCACAGGTTTAAAAAACCCTTGCCTTAGATAATTAGTTGCTAAATAATTGAGAAGACTCTATGAAAGGTTCTTACAATCAGTGAGCAAATATTTACTGAATATCTCCATGGTGCCATGGTATTTTACAAAGTATTCAAATATATTAAGGAAAAAGTGTCCGTTCTTCCTAAGCTGCATGCCAAGGTGCACCTATGTCCTAGAAATCAACAAAGCTAAAGTTCTTTGGCAAGACAATACCTATGTTTGGTTATTTAGAATTTGTGGGATTGAGTGAAGTGATGGGAATTGTGGCCAAGAAAGAAGGAAGTGTCTATTCCAAATACAATGCAACTTTACCCTCAGTTAAATCTCAGAGATTAACAGAGAACTACATTATATCCTTCAGGGAACTACAAAAGCAGTGATAGATGCTGCCTAGATGCCTGGACCAGTTGGCAGAACAAAGTCCAGGGATGAAGAAAGACTACTTTCCTCCAAAGAAGCAAGGGTAGAGTTTCACACATGGACTATGTCTAAAGAGCAAAAACAACCAATGAACTAACTACATAGGATGGGCTAACAAAAATAGCCAGGACGTTTTTCTGTATCAACAGCCATCAAAACAGAATTTTTCAACTTCGTAATATTTTCCTCCCATCTCTTGCCACTCTTACTCAAACAAGTTTGTTGTTTTTGGGTGTTTTTTTTTTTCTTTTAAATAATCTGAAAGAGGAAATCAAGTCTCTTTACAGCAGCGACCTCAGGCGCCAAACTAAACTCAGAACAGATATTCCCAGCTGGATCCAAGTTCCTGGAATATAGGGAGATATGATGGAAAGTTTGGACTTGAAACCCATTTCACACCCTCACCTCCTCCCATCCCCCATCTTCACTTCTCTCTTTTTCTCCCTCCCCATCTGTCTGCTCCTGCTCTTCCTCCCCCTTTTCCCTCCCCTCTTTCTCCTATGGATCTTGGGACACACCTATGGGAGAACAAGCCACAGCTTTTTTTTCCTCTCCTCTTCACCCCTATATCCACACCTCTGTCATTAGAAATCACTCAACCACTTTGGTAGATGGGTAGGTACGCAAGGAAGTTTGCCTTGAACAAAACGAAACATTGAGCTGTCCAGTTTGAGAACTGTAAACTGCACCATTGACAGTTACCAGTGCGTAAGAGGAAGACAGACCTAAGTGACCCAAACTAAGCTTTGTGTTCATAGGTCCAACTCTGCTCCCTGGGGAAAAGAAGGGGCAGCACAAGTGAGAATGAAGTGAGCAGCAGAGAAGGACTTCTCCAACACTTACCTTCCTGCAGTTTTACACTCTGGAGGTAGAGTGGGTTCCTCAGGACATCACATCGTCCTGGCTCATCCTCCTTGGTGAAGAGCAACAGGTCAGAGTACACAAACAATGTCACCTGGGCAGGGAAAGAACCACACAGGATAAAATGCAACCAGCCCACAGAATAGTGGATAGCACTAGCCAATGAGCAAAATCTCAGAAATGCTCAAAAAATATCAGTCATGAGAACAGGGACTGAGTCTTATCTGAATTTTGTACACTCTCAGCACCTTATCAGTACTCTGAACATAGTAGGTGCTTAATGTGGGTTGAATGAATTGCTAACTTGCTGAATGAATGAATGGAGTTATAATCTGACTTACCAAACTTGTTTCAAATGATTGAACAAGTAGGTATGGTATAATATCTTCGGCATTATTGCCTAAAGCAGTTACAAGCCACTGATATGGCCCTGCCTAATAATAATTAGTGTTAGGAGTTCATTGTCCCCCTCTCAATCCCTGGCCCACTAATTATAAAACTAGGAGCAAATTGCAGGTATCCGGTTCCTCTAATTCCTCAAAGCATAAAATATGGAAACTTCCCCTAATGCCAGACAGTGCTTACCAGGCCCTTTCTTTTGCTCTGATAACAATGCCCATCGCCATGATCAAGGTTGTTAACATCAAACTCCTCCAGCTCAGTGACAAAGTATCAAAAGAGCTCCTGAGGGGAAAGCAGTGACTGTCTTGAGCTCTCTCCCAAATCCCTCCAAATACCTATAAAAAATGGCTCTAAACAAATTCTAAAGCAGCAGAACCCACAAAAAGGCAGAGTGAAACAAATTTCCAGCCAAAGACAGCCTGGATGGTTGATTGGAAAGGTATATCGCATGCCGGGGGAGGGGGGGCCTCAGTTCGGTGTGGGCGCGCAGGCCCCAGCAACCCTGGAGCAGGCCTCAGAAGACTGAATCGCGAGAAGGTGTGGCAGTTTCCAGACTTCTCAACCCCTGAACGCCAAAGACAACTTAGAAGGTCAGTGGCAAAAGTCTGCGACTGCAGTGAGAGAGGAGCTAGGTCTCAGCCACAAGTCTCAAGTGCTGCCCGGCTTTTTCCTGAGCTTCTGGCCCACAGACTGAGGGGGAATCCAGTGGCTGATCAGAGGGGGATTGTAGGGATCTCTTTGCCAGTGCTGAGGCAGGAATCTCTTGCTTTACCTGTGCTTGGATATGGGTCGCAGTTCTGAGGGGAGGTCCTGGGGCGAGGAGGAGCGCTGGTGCGGTGGGACTTGTGGTGGTGGAGAGAAAACACCTCGCCCCTTATCAAACCACCTTGGAAGAACTGAAAATTTACATGGTCCCTAGAAGTACCTCTGAAAACAGCTGTACAAACCCCCGAAGCTTGGTACAGTACACTCTTCACATTGGAAGCAGACTTCTACCTTAACAAAGAGTTTAAAACTCAAGTAATTGGCTGGGATCACGAGTAAGCAGCGCAAAAAGAGTCAGACTATATTATCTTACTTTGGTGACAAAGAAGATCAAAACAGATAACCAGAAGAAGACAACAAAGCCAAAGCTCCTACATCCAAACCCTCCAAGAAAAATATGAATCAGTCCCAGGCCTTGGAAGAGCTCAAAAGGGATTTTGAGAAGCAAGTAAGAGAAGTAGAGGAAAAACCGAGAGTGATGCAAGAAAATCATGAAAAACAAGTCAACAGCTTGCTAAAGGAGACCCAAAAAAATACTGAAGAAAATAACACCATAAAAAATAGCCTAACCCAAATGGCAAAAGAGGTCCAAAAAGCCAATGAGGAGAAGAATGCCCTAAAAAGCAAAATTGGCCAAATGGAAAAGAAAGTCCAAAAGATTACTGAAGAAAATACTTCCTTAAAAATTAGAATAGAGAAATGGAAGCTAGTGACTTTATGAGAAATCAAGACACTGTAAAACAAATCCAAAAGAATGAAAAATTAGAAAACAATGTGAAATATCTCATTGGAAAAACAACTGACCTGGAAAATAGATCCAGGAGAGAGAATTTAAAAATTATTGGACTATCTGAAAGCCATGATCAAAAAAAAAAAAGCCTAGACATCATCTTTCAAGAAATTATCCAGGAAAACTGTTTTGATATTTTAGAACCAGAGGGCAAAATAGAAATTGAAAGAATCCACTGATCTCCTCCTAAAAGAGATCCCCAAAGCAAAACTCCTAGGAATATTGTAGCCAAATTCCAGAGTTCCCAGGTCACGGAGAAAATATTACAAGCAGCCAGAAAGAAACAATTCAATTACTGTGGAAACACAATCAGGATAACAAAGATTTAGCTGCTTCTACATTAAGGGACCACAGGGCATGGAATATTCCGGAGAGCAAAGGAGATAGGATTACACCCAAGAATCACCTACCCAGCAAAACTGAGTATAATCCTGCAGGGGAAAAAATGGTCATTCAGTGAAATAGAGGACTTTCAAGCATTCTTGATGAAAAGACCAGAGTTGAATAGAAAATTTGATTTTCAAATACAAGACTAGAGTGGAACATGAAGAGGTAAACAGGAAAGAGAAAATCATAACAGACTTATTAAGGTTGAACTGTTTACTTTCCTGCATGGAAAGATGATATTTGTAACTCATGAGACCTTTGTCAGTATTAGGGTAGTTGGAAGGGAAAAAATTATATGTACGTATATACAGATATAGATAGATAGAGGGCACAGGGTGAGTTGAAAATGAAGGGGTCATATCTGGAGAATAAAATTAAGGGGTGAGAGAGGAATATACTAGAAGAAGGAGAAAGAGAGAGGTAGAATGGGGTAAATTATCCCACAAAAAAAAAACAGAAAAGAAAAGGCTCTTACAGTGGAGGGGAAACGGGGGAAGGTGAGAGGGAATGAGTGAATCTTATTCTCATAGGATTTGACTTAAGGAGGGAATAACATACACATTCAACTGGGTGTGGAAATATGTCTTACCCTACAGGAAAACAGGGGGGGAAGGGGACAAGAGAGTAGGGGAATGAAAGAGAGGAGGGCAGATTGGGAAAGGGAGTAATCAGAAGCAAATATTTCTGAGGAGGGTCAGGGTCAAAAGAAAGAATAGAATAAATTGGTGGGAGGGATAGGATTAAGGGAAATAGAGTTAGTTTTTCACAGCATGTCTACTATGGAAGTGTTTTGCATAACTGCACATGTATAACCTATATTGAGTTGCTTGCCTTATCAATGAGGGTGGGTGGGGAGGGAGGAAGGGAGAAAATTTGGAACCCAAAGTTTTAAAAACATATGTTTAAAAAAAATGTTTTCACATGCAACTGGGAAATAAGAAATATAGGAAATGGGGTACAGAAATCCATCCTGCCCTACAGGAAAATTGAAAGGGAAGGGGATAAGAGAAGGGGGGGAGAGATAGAAGGGAAGGCAGACTAGGAGAAGGGATATTTAGAATGCATGCCATCTTGGGGTGGGGGGAGGGGCAAGATGGGGTGAAAATTTAGAACTCACAATCTTGTGGAAGTAAATGTTGAAAACAAAAAAAATAAAAATTACCATTAAAAAAAAAGAGCCCCTGAGCTAGAAGGATCTTTCCTATTATCTTTTATTTTGACCTATGCATCTAGAGGTAAGCCAGAAGTCTCTCAGTGACAACTTTAATCAGCATTCATTCAAGAACACTTCTAGAAGGACAATGATTTTCATCTATTATATGTGTGTAGCACTTTTCAATCTGCAACACACTTTCATATACATCATCTCATTTGATTTTCCTATAACCCGGTGGGAGGAAGGCAGAAGAGATGGTATTAGCTCTATTTTTACAGACAATGAAACTGAAGCTCAGGGAGGTCGCACAGCAGGGACTCCATAGAAGTAGAACTCCTGAGATTAGAACCTAGAACTGGTGCAGTGTTCCTTCCCACTCCACCAGGTCTCCAGTCGCCATTTCAATTATTTACTGTCTGACAAAAACATGCAAGTTACTTATATAGTCTCTTTTTGTATCGTTCACTTCAAAAATCAGCACTTGCATTATATCACAATTAAACTGACTCAGCAATGTGTTTATCTGGTGGTTCTTTCTTATTAATCATTCTTGAAATGGTTAATTTCCACATTTCTACATTCTGAAAGTCACTCTAACCTGCCACACTCAAGATTAGACTGCACATGACCTTTTCTCTGGAAATCTTAAGGCAACCACTGGCCAAAAGCAACAAAATGTAACTAACCTAAGATCCTCAAATGAAAGCATTACATGTCACTGTGTGGATACATTTTTGCTGACACCCTTTCTGCCCCTCTAGCAATGGACCTTCTTGAGTGGGATTCTTAAAAATTGTAGAAGTTACTTTCATTGTCATCACTTGTTAATTAATTATACTATATTAATTAAAACACATGAGCTAGTGGTATTAATACCTTGAACATGTATATAATGTTTTATCATTTATAGTATAATATTGGATCTTCTGCAATTATCCTGAGGTCGATGTTATCATCCCTAATTTAAAGATGGGAAAACTGAGCCTTGAGGAGGTTAAGTGGCTGCCCAAGGTCACACAGATAGTCAATAGCAGATCTCAACCTAGACCATAGGACTTTTGACTCTTGGCTGTTCTATGGTATGAGGGCCCTTCTGTTTGTCCTGATCATTTTCTCTAACATCCGAGTTCTCTTTTTTGAGTCATGGTCCCCTTGGGCAGATTAATGATGCCTATGGGCCCTTCTCAGAATAATGCTAGTTGCCTATGTTCATAATTGGAGGAAATGCTAAGTTTCAGTTAGAGGCTAGCGAAAATAAAAAATGTCATTTTTTTTTCCCATTCAAGTTTACAGACCCACTATGAACCTATTCACAAGTGCCTCTGGACCTTGGACCTGAGGTTAAAACCTCCTGATCTATAGCTCTCTTTACTACTGAATGACAGAGCTAGGACTCAGGTTTCCTAGTCTAGTGAGTTTACACCTATACTACTCTACCTGTGTATGACCTGGCAGCAAAAGAATCACATGATTATAGCCTTCTGTGGAACTTGTAAGGCTAAGAAGGTGGCAAGATGGGGTCAAAGGAAGTGAAGAAAGGGAGAGAAAGGGAAGAACACCATTAGTGAAAGAAGAGTATGAAAAGACAAGACAACCCACATGAATACAAAAAAGGATTTAGGATAAGAAATGGGACAGAGACAAGGGAAAATTACTTTAGAGGCTAGAGTAGTCAAAAAAAAGAAAGAAAATCCTACATAAAAAAAAAATCACCTCAGATTTTCCTTTCCCCTTCTCTCAACCCAAGTCACAAATAGGCAGCACAGGGGTGGTGGATAGGATTAAAACAATGTCTGCAAGCCAAAAAAGTCATAGAGGTGCAGAAATTGACAACAAATGGGGGAAAGACATCAGGGAGATAAAAAGAGATCAGAGTTAGTTTATTAACTCTCCAGAATCTCAAAATTGGAAAAGCATGGTTTTAAGAAAACTGTTAAAACAGGAATCACAGTACAGTCTAGACAGGAAGTGATTAAGGACTGACTAAAGAATTTCCCCAAAGGTCAGGTCAGGGAAAAGGACAGAGCTGGCAAAAGTCTAGAGATGGTGACACAGGGTGAAACGGTAAAAGTGGAGTCCAGACACACCCTTAATCTCACTTTCATCTGGCTGGTCTTAGTTGGAATCCCACCAAGAGGCCTCTGACAAAAGATCCAGAAAGGGACAAAACAAACCCCTAGCACCCACCTTATTCTTCTAAGGAAGAATAAGGAACACAACACTGCAAGGTCTCAACGTTTAAATAAGTCTTCACATGGCCTCCTTTTCCAAGGATCACAATGAGCTAGAATATCTGCTTTTCCCCCACCACCCTTGCATCAAGAAAATATCTGTTGACCTAAACAACTACAATTTTGTAAAGAAATCCTCTCAAAGCCTAGGGCTACACCCAGAACATCCCAACTTTCTCCTCTACCTCCTGCTCCAAATCTATCATCAAGAAATTTATCTTAAGTCTTCCCAAAGCTGTTTTTATTTTGGGCTTTTGCAACCTCCAAGTAATAAGCACATGTATTTCCTATTCTCTAATTTTAAATGTATATATTTTTCCTTTACATCTCATTTAAGCTTTATGGGGGACTTACTAATTCAGCAACTCTGATGATTAATTATGCTGTGTCTTCTTTTTAAATAATAACTATAAAATAACTACACTGGCAATATAGAGAGAAGTTCTGGGTACATCCACAGTCTCTGAGAGTACATCAAGTTGATGGGAGTCCTTACCAAAGGAACTACCATAAAGTAATGAGATTGGTAGTGTAGTCAGAAAACTATTGACATGAGAACCAGAAGACCTAGGTTCTCATCTCTAACATTAGCTCACTGTATAACTGTATATAATTCATTTCCCTTCCCTGGGTCTCAGTTTCTGCATCTGTAAAATGAGAAGGCTAATCTTTAGTCATATGAAAAAATGCTCTAAATCACTACTGATTAGAGAGAAATGCAAATCAAAAACTCTGAGGTACCACATCACACCTATCAGATTGGCCAACATGACAAAACAGGAAAATGATAAATGTTGGTGAAGATGTGGGAAAATTGGAACACTAATGCATTGTTGGTGGAGTTGTGTACTGATCCAAACATTTTGGAGAGCAATTTGGAACTATGCCCAAAGGGCTATAAAAATGTGCATACCCTTTGACCCAGCAATAGCACTTCTAGGGCTACATCCCAAAAAGATCATACAAATGGGGAAAAGACCCACACGTACAAGAATATTTACAGCAGCTCTTTTTGTGGCAGCAAAGAATTGGAAATTGAGAGGATGACCATCAACTGGGGAATGGCTGAACAAGTTGTGGTATATGAATGTAATGGAAAACTATTGTGCTATAAGAAATGATAAACAGACTGACTTCAGAAAAACCTGGAAAGACTTATATTGTCTGATGCTGAGTGAAGTAAGCACAACCAGGAGAATATTAGACACAGTAACAGCCACATTGTGAAATGACTAACATTGATAGACAGCTCTTCTCTGCAATACAAGGATCTAAGACATCTCCAAAGGTCTCATAATGGAAAATGCTATCCACATCCAAAGAAAGAACTATGGAATTTGAGTGCAGATCGAAGCATATTATTTGCTATTATTTTCTTCTGCTGTGTTCTGTTTACTCTTTTTGTGGTTCCTCCTGTCAGTTCTAATTCTTATAACATCACTAATGTGAAAATATGTTTAATAGGAATGTATATGTAGAGCCTATATCAGATTGCATGCCATCTTGGGGAGGGAGGGGGAGAAAAATTTAAAACTCAAAAGTTTATGGAAATGATTGTTGACAATTCAAAATAAATTAATGAAAAAAGACAACAAAAAAAATGAGAAGGCTAGACTTGATTTCTAACATACCTTCCAACAATAAAAAGCTCTGATTCAACAGAGATAGGGACAAGGATGGGGATCCATGCCTGTCAAGGGCACCACCATCCTTCTAGTCCCCCAGGCTCACAACTTTAGTGTTATCCTTGACTCTCACCCCCTCATACTCAATTCATTGCCAAATCTTGTTGTTTCTACTTACGGAACATTTTTTCATATAAATATCCTTTTCTCTTCTGACACTCTCAACACTCTGGTGCAGGCCTGGACTAGTGCAAACAGCCTGCTGGTGGGTCTGCCTGTCTCTAGTCTCTCCCCTCTCCAGGCCATCCTCACTAAACCGCCCAGGTGACCTTCCAGATGACCTTGTCACCTCCCTCCTCAGTGAGCTCCAGTAGTTCCCTGTCACTTCCAGGAGCAAAGATAAACTCTCCTATTTAGCATTTAAAACACTTCCTGACTCCTCAGTCTTCTTCAGCTTCACCTCCCTCTTCCCACAGGACAAGGCATCTCATCTGCCTGTCTCCATGCCTCTGCACAGGTTGTCCTCCAGAACCAGAAAGCTCTCCTTCCTCGCCTCGGCCTCTTAGTTCCCTGGCAAGAGACCCTTCCTACTCTCCCAAGCTGCCAGTGCCTTCTCCTCATAGGCTGCCTTCCATCCACTCTATATACATCTGACAGGTACCCAGTGTTTACGTGCTGTCTGCCCCAACAGAACGTAAGCTCCTCCAGAGAAGAGACTTTTTGCTTCCCTTGGTACCAGGACAATGCCTGGTACATAATAAGAACTTAATAAATGCTTGTTGACAGACTAAATGACTGATGGGGCCTGTGATTTATTGGAATAAGGAACTACCAGGTGAAAGGGACTCCTTTTCAATGCAAGTCAGCACCTTCTCTGTAACATAGTCTTAGCTGTCTAGAGCAGAGGTGTCCAATACAAGTGCCCCCCAAATCAGACTAAAATGTAATTGGGAGATACTTAATAAAGTAAGCAAGCTGGGATCCCCATGTAGGGCTTAGTAGCCCTAGTTTCTATTTGAGTTTGACACCACTGAGCACTGAGAAGTTAAGTGAGTTGCTCAGGGTCACACGGACAGCTAGTTACATGTCAGGGGTGGGACCTGAACTCAGATCTTCCTAACTTTGAGGCCAGCTCTTTATCCACTGATTCTATACACAACTTACACATTCAGATAAATGCTGTCCTTCAAAGTAGTCACTCTGGGACTTGGAGAGAAGACGTGAACTTACTACAAAGATGCTGCCATTTTTTCCAAATATTTCTGTGCTCCTGCTTTGGATATTGTAAGCCTGTCACAGCTCATTGTAAAAACTAAGATAACACAGATCGTTTGCTGTCTTAGGGAGCAGGGAGAGAAGGGAAGGAGAAAAATTTGGAACTCAAAATCTTATTAAAAAAGGAATGCTGAAAATCGGCTATACGTGTAATTGAAAAAAATAAAATACTATTTTTTAAAAGCTAAGATAATACAACTCAGTCTGATCCTATATTATTCACTAAAGCCAGATCCAAATGAATAATAAAATCATAGAATATTAGACGTGGTGAGTATCTTAGAGATTATCTAGTCCAGTGCCCAGTTTTATCTACTCCAGTTTCATCATTTTAAAAACAAGGAAACCAAAGCCTAGAGCCTAAGCGCCTTGGTTCACAGCCATTTCCAAAAATCAAGTCCATAGTCAAAGATTTTCTTTCACTAAAGGTATTGAAAACAGTGTTCTATAGACCATAAAGGCCATTTTTAAAGAAGAGTGCCCAAAATGTTTTGATGAAATTCATCATTGAGATAAATGTTTATCCTTCCAAAGTGGCTAGTTTGAACTGAACTCACTTGGATGAATGGACTGATAGTTGGGTTTGGTTTTTTTTTCCTTAATCCATTTCTACCTGAATGGCACCAAAGGAAATATACAGAACAATAAGTTCTCTCCACAAAAGAAAGTACGGTTAAAGTTCATCTCTAATTCCAGGGGTGAAAATCTAGTTAGTCCAGCAGCAAAGTCAAACTCAGGATTTAATCCATGATGTAGTGAGTCCACAGTGGCTCAAAGGTAGATGATTCCCAGGTTCACTGTTAAGTAGATACAAAATCTACAGCTCACAAAAGGGATCTGTTCTAGTAACCAAGATCAAGTCAGACAGTTGAGATTTAAATGGAACAAGCCAAGGCCCTGAAAATGGGACTGGGGATGAAACTCACTGGGGCACTTGCCCAATAGCATTCTAGGGATTTCCCTTTTTAGAGAGCTACCATTAATTGTGGTAGATGGAAGCAATTCTGAAAATTGTGTAGAATAATTGGAAATAACTGCTCAGCTACAAAGGATGAGATAGATATAGTCACAAGACACAGTATCATAAATCTTAATTTGGCAGAACTGGAGGCCAACAGAAGTCAGAGCCCATAAATATAGAACAGATTTTAGACTTGTGCTAACATGGACAGGAGGTACCTAGATAACTAAAATCTCCCAATAAGCTAAAAATTCCATTTCAATCAATAACTTCAATTTCTCCCTCCTCCTGAACCTCTCAACAGAATTGGTCTTAGTTTGTCCTCTTTTTCTCTGTCTCTGGAGGTATAAAAGAGCAACAAAATGGCTCCAAGTCTAGCAATGAGGGGAAGAATCAGGTGCCTGGATAATTTACAAGAGTAATTAAGAACCCACTTAAGTATCTTACCTTGGAAGTTTTGTTTCTCCCCTCATAAAGCATAAGTTCCTCAGCCAGCAACAGAGTCCGAGCTGTGTTACAGAGATCTAGGGGCTGAAAACAAAGCACGGCTTGAACTCGCAGGTTAGGATGAAGAATGCTGATGGGGGTGAGGGAGAGAAGAGAAACCCAGGGTCAGGGTTGGCCCCACTGGAGCCTGGGGAAGATATGAGCTAGCTGAACCAGCTGGGAACACAACTCTATCAGTGGAGGAGAGGTTGCTGACTGGTTGGCTAGAACGGAAGAGGGGAGAAACCACCCTCTTGTGCTCAACACCTACACAGTCCCACAGCCTCAAAAAAGAGGGAAAAATACAACCACTGTCCTCGTGTGAAGCTGCTGAAGATGACACCGCTTCCACCTAACAGAGAGCTAAGAGCTAACTGTGATGAGGCTGCTTTTTCTGGGCAGGAAGCAAAACCACACAGTTTAGCCCTTTTCTGGTTGAGCCCCCCATACCCTGCCTGCTTCTTTGCCAGAGAGTTACCTTACCCTTACCATCAATGGCCTAATGCCACACACATTCCTACCCTTTTCACCCCATACAGTGAGAGTCAGAATGAGGATCTCTCTGGGAGTCAGATTAGCTCCTACCACTGGCTGACTGGCAGTATGTAATCCCTACTGTGTTCTTTTATCCTCACATGCCCTGATCACAAACCAACAGATTCATATTCAACTAGCTACTGGCTTTGATCTAAGACATGTTCAAAGCCTTCCAACAAGCCCTTTATTGCTCTCACTAAACTTTCTTGATCAAACTGATTGATTCTCACAGGAGTTCCCATAGTATTCTTAGCCCCCAGCCCTCTAGGCCAATGCATCCCAGCACTAAGCAACCCACACCAGTTTCCTCCACCATATCTCCTCTGAAGTTCTCTTCTCATCTAGACCAAATAAAGCCGTACAAGACAGCGACAACATGTGTATTTATACTCATATAGCAATATTTATTGAGATTTATTGATAGATGCATAGCACTGGATGATATTCTTAAAGAAAGCCACATTTAAACCTTCCAGTCTAAAACAGTTAATGCTGAGACAGACACATACAAATGAAAAAATAAGACCATTCAGATACATATAAAGACATATATTCGAGGCTGACAAAGTTCAATGGACAGATATAGACTATAAACCAGCAAAATGTGTTGTTTTATAAGGTATATTGGATGATACTGGCTCCAAAACAGATAACCAATGGGCCTGAAGCAACCTCACCTCAGTCAGAGGCCAGGGGGAAGTAAGACAACAACCTAAGAAAGTCTAAGGAAAATGGCTAGACCCCAAGTAAGACAAATTTATAATAATACATGTGGGGAAGCCAGGGAATTCAGACCAAATGAGAAAAGCAGAAAAACAATCACATTATGAAGACATCAAGGCTCCTAACCAGTAATTTCTAAAAGTCAAACTACTTATGTTCAGCATGGAAGCCAGAGGAATGAGAACCTTTTACATTTACAATGAGAAACATATCGAAAAACTGGCTCCCAAACAAGCATATAATCATACTCTGCTTGCCCCTTTACCTTTAAAATACAATTACAGGACAAAAATAAAAATCCCCAAAGGACAGGAGTAGGGGACAGGCATAGTGGTGCACACCTGCAATCCCTGCTAAGGCTGAGGCTGCTGAAGGGCTTGAGATCAAGAGTCCTAAGATATAGGCTGAGCTGATCAGGTGTCTGCATAAAGTCTGGCACCAAGATGGTGAACTCCCAGGAGCAGGGGCCACCAGGCTGCCTAGGGAGGAATGAACTGGCTCAGGTCAGAAACTGAGAAGGATAAAGCTCCCGTGCTGGTCAGCAGTAAGATTCAGCACATCAGTAGCAATTGCAGTTCCAACCTAGTTGAGACAGGGATATCTAGCCTTAAAAAAAAAAAAGGGAGACAGAAACAGATAGACAAAAGTAGGGAGTACCCTCCCTTAGTCGCCCCTTCAAGGTCCTACATTCCCTGCCTGATAGCTCTTGCCTGACTGTCCCCACACCCAATAATGAGTACTTCAATAAAGAAAACCTTGTTTAATTCCCGTAAGTTCCTTGAAATCTGAAATTACATTTCACATATTTGGAGGAAGTACCCAGTCCAGAACAGAATCCTCACTCACTAGTTATTATAGCCTTAAACCATGATTTCATCCTTTTCAAAATGGAATTCTCAGGGACAGTCCAAACCAAGCCCCCAGGATGACCACACCATTCCACTCACAGCCACCATCTCACCTGCACAAAAACAGGAAACACCAAGACTTTGGGAGCCAGTGTCACATAGGTGCCATAGCTTGAGTGTGGACTGTGGGGCTTCATGATGGTACAGTTCTGGTAGTTACCATAGCCTTTCACAGTCTGCACTGTCTTCATCAGTCTGGATTTCTTCCCCAGGCCTGTGTGGGATTTCCCTTTGCTAGTGTTCCCTGTATCTGTAGGAACAAAGAGGGAAGGGATGAGAAGGACTTGAAACCTAAGATTCTATACACAAATTCAAAAAGTGTGGATAACAAACAAAGCAAACTAGAGATCATAACACAAGGCAAATTAAACTCCACAGGTCTTGGTAAGACCTGGTAGCATGAGAACCATGATAGGAATATGACTCTGGAAAGGTGGTATGTCTTATTCAAAAGGAAAAGGACAGATAAAAGTAGGGGGAGTGAATTAGCTTTGTATGTTAAGAAGATAGACTTGTGAGAAATTGTGGTATATGATTGTAATGGAATATTACTGTGCTATAAGAAATAATGAGCAGGTTGGTTTCAGAAAAACCTGGAAAAACTTACATGAACTGATGCAAAGTGAATTGAACAGAACCAGGAGAAATACTGTAAGATGATCAACTGTGAATGCCTTAGTTATTCTCAGCAATACAATGATCCAAGACAATTTCAAAGGATTCATGATGAAAAATGCTATCCACCTCCAGAGAAAGAATTGATGGAGTCTGAATGCAGATCAAAGCATAATATGTTTCACTTTCTGTATTTTTTTCATGTTTTTTGTATTTTTTTTTCCTTTGGGTCTGTGTCTTCTTTCACAACATGACTGAACATGTATAACCTATATCAAATTGTTTACCATCTCAGAGAGGGAGGAGGTAAGGGGAAAAGAAAAAAATTTGGAACTCAAAAATTTTTTAAAAGTTAAAAATTATCTTTACGTGTAACTGGGGGGAAATTACTTAAAAAAGAAAAAGAAGATAGACTTGTGAGAAAATCCTGGAACTAGTAAAGGAAGCATAATAAAGATCAAAGATCATTTGAATGGAAATCAACAGAGGCATAAGCAAAAGTTATACTGTCATCTGAGTTTACCACAGACTACCTAGACAGAAAGAGGACATAAATGAGGAGTTTGAGAAATAGATCACAAGCTTGTCATAGAGGCGTGATCTAGGAGTGATAGGAAACTTCAATCATCCAGATGCCTGCTGAACTTCAATTATCCAGATATCTCTGCCAAAGGCAAATAACTTTCTGACCTGCTAAAGCAAGCAATAATTTCATCTTTCAAAAGGTAGAGTAACCTACAAAAGGGATATCTGTTTTCAATGTAGTTCTCATTTAACAATCAAGAGTTGGTTGCTAAGGTAGAAATAATGAAAACCTGGGAGGAAATAAAGCACCACTCCTTCTTAAAATATGTGATAGAGAACAGGAAATCCAGGCATAATAGCACATACATCTAGATTTTGAGAGAGCAGATTTCAAAGAGTTCAGAGAAAGGATGGATGAAATGGACAAAAAAACATCTGGGGAAGTTAGCCCAGGAAGGACTAAAAGCTCTTAAGAATGAAATTCTGAAGAGACAAAGAAAATCAATTCCAATGAGGAAAAAGGAAGGATTGTCTTAAGTGTGGATACAGGGGAAACCCATCAGCTAACTTGAATTTTAGAAAGACACGTACAGAAAATGAAAACAAGGACAGGTAACAAAATAAATACCAAAATATGGTATATATGTGTAAGAATAGTGTCAGGACATCTCTGAAAGACTTGTGATGAAAAATGCTATCCATCCCCAGAGAAAGAACTGATGGTGTATGAATACACATTGAAGCATACTTTTTTACTATCCTTATTTTTCTTAAGGTGTTTTTTGGTCAATGTTTTCTTTCACAACGTGACTAACATGGAAATGTTTTGCATGACTACACATGTATAACCTATATCAAACTGCTTACCTTCTCAATGGGGGGAGGGAAGAAGGGAGAGAACTTGGAACTCACAGGAGAACTGGGGGAAGACAGTGCCATCTCCCACCTCCAGGGTTTTGCACAGACAGTTCCCCATGCCCAGAATGTCCTCCCTTCTTACCTCCACCTCTTGGAATCCTTAGCTTCGTTTGAGGTTCAGCTCCATTGCTACCTCCTATTCAAAGACTTTTCTTATTCCCTCAGTTTTTAATATTCTCTTCCTCCTCAAATTATTTTGTACTTACTTATCTGGGGACATGCTGTACCCCACCCACCCATTCCATGCCTCAACATAAACTCCTTGACAGCTGAAACTATTTGTCCTTGTACTCTTGACCCCTAGTAGGTGTTTAATAAATGTCCGTGGAATTGGACTGGATTATTGATCTATTTTTTAATTCCTTGGGGGTAGGAGGTGGGAGGGACATGATAGAAGAGAGATTAGGCTCTTTCTGCTTGGCTGCCGGAGAGCAGAATTAGGATCAGAGAATGGAAGTTACAAAGAAGCAAAATTAGATTTGATGTAAGGAAAAACTTCCTGACCATCAGGGCCATCTAAACACGGAATGGGCTGTCTCAAGTACTAGAGAAGTCTCTTCACTAGAGGTATTTAAGCAAAAGCTAAATGATGACTTGGGGACGTGATGAATGGGATTTCTGTTCAGATACGGGTCATACTATTTGGTGTCTTAGATTCCTTTCAATTTTAAACTCTGTGTTGTCTTGCTCATAACTATCATTTTTCAATGGCATTCTCTCTAAAAAGAGCCATAGAGAGACCAAAATATTAAAAAACAGACTAAAATAACCTCCCAGTAGTACAGTAGAATTCACTTGAATTACTGTTCAGAATGAAGTAGTAGTTACTGCTCGCTCTAGTTCTGCCAAAAGAACAATGAATTTGGAATCTGAATACAAGTGGGTTTGGATCCTGCCTCTGCCTCTTACTGTCTAAATTACTTTGACCCAGTAATTTCACCCCTCTGGGCCTCAGCTTCTTCACCTGTAAAATGAGAGGGTTAACTACATGACCTCTGAGGTCCTTCCAAGATTTAAAAATTCCATAATCCTAAGAGTAACTTCCCACAGCATCAACTAAGAAAAAAGCAATATACGGCACAAAAACCAGGCCAGGAATTTCTTAGGAAGAAACCTCAAGTCTGGAGCGGTACAAACTGCTCACCACCTGCCACTGACAGGCACACAGGCATAGGAGCCCTCATGGTCATCACCTGCGGAAGCAGCTCTTGTGAAGAAGGGGCCATCCCCCCACCAACTGCTGCACACCAGGCAGGTAAGCCAGCCTACCTGAAGAAACAGAGCGCCCTGAGGAGAGACAGGAGGCAGCATGCGCCAGGCAAGTCGAACCACCACCAACCATCACCTTGACCACCACCTCCTTTCAGAGCCTGACAGGGGTAGCCCAAGTTCCTGAACTCAAGCGTCTTGAGAACAGCAGCATTCCCCAAAACACCAGACCTGCTTCTAGCTCATAGCCCACAGCCATAATTGAGGAGAGAAATCATTGTGGAGAGGGGGCCCATCTTCTTCATCACTACCAGCAACAAGTGCTGACCAACTGCCAACAACAGGCAGATGGACACAGAAATACTGGGAATGGCAGTACCTCTCACCTCTGACCACCCTTCCTGCTTCTGGCCCAGCCCTCGGGGCCAACATTCATGGGAGTAAAGAAAGAGTCAGCCATCCCCACCAATTGCCAACCAACTGCCACACACAGGGAAGGTAAGCCAACCTAGATGGAGCACCAAGGCAGCCTAAGGGAAAGACAGGAGACAGCATGTGCCAGGCAAGTCAAACCACCACCATCAACTTGACTACCATCTTCCCGCAGACCTGAATGGAGACAGACTCTGAACCCAAAAGTTCTGGGAAAAGTGGCATTAAATAACAACATTAAGCAAGAGACATTGCTGTCTGCTTTGCTGCTGCACCCTAAGGATCCTGGGACCTTTCTTGCTGACTTATAGGTGAAACCTTCCATATGTGTTGTCTCCTCCATTACTTTTTCATTTGTACCCTGAGCACTTACCAGAGTACTTTGCACATAGTAAGTGCGTAATAAATGCTGGATCTCATCGACTATTTGTGACTATGAGATAGGAATGTTCCTTCATTCCATAGGCTGTCCCATGATCTTTGAGTTTTATTTGGATGTACAGGTGATCCCCACTTTTAGACCCAGTTTGTTCCTGGATACCATATATAAAGCAAATTCTCATGGGGTGAAATCCCGACTGTGTATTATTGCCTTCATCTGTTCAGATATCAGTGGAGACCACTAACCAGGTAGATCACTGTGGCAAAGTGAAGTATTAGTCTTTAACAGACAGTGACGCAATTCAATAGAAAGTTAGGTCACATATATAATGCAAGGTGCTACAAAAAGGTTTCTACAGGCCTCTTAGGCTAGGAGCCTGGCCTTGTGTTTCGGCTTCTCTCTGCGCCTGAACCCTAAGCAATGCCAGAAATCCCACACTACCTGCTGACTGGCTAAGAAACAGAGACATCAAGGTATCACAATGTGGTTGTCTACCAAAATTGTCACCTGACACCCTGGAAGAAGAAACCTAACTACAAAAAAGGTTCTGAGGTTGCTTCCTCTACCCACCCTGCCACATCTCACAGAGGTGGGGAAATTTTGGCTAAGAAACACAGTTGGCTTCCCTCCACAACTGAATATTATGATAGGTGTGGCTAGGCACAATATTAAAACCATTAATAAAAATCAATTTTAAAAAACACATCCTGAATATCTTCAATAAGGAACTATGAGAACAATAAAGAAAATGTTATCAATGAGAGAAAAGAGTGAAGGACAATTGTCCATTAGGAGTCTTTCTTCTCTGCCCTTCTCCCCCAGCAAAGCCCACTCTTGGATACATCATTCCCCTAGGCTTGCCCTCCCCTAGAGTGCTATCCTCCAGCAGGCCTCCAGAGAGAGTATCAGCAACTCAGCATTTCTGACTATCATTCTCCTCTACCCCCAACTGAAATGCCCCCATGCCAATGTATTTTTACCTATTTAGGACCTACTTAACTAGAATCACAGATCCTAACATTGCACTTGAAAGGACCATCGAGATCCTCTAGTTCAATTTCTTCATTTTGTTTTTTTGGGTTTTTGGGGGGTTTTTTCTGTTTTTTCTTTTTTAGGCAATTGGGGTTGTGATTTGCCCAGGGTCACACAGCTAGTAAGTGTCAAGTGTT